GCAACTTACGAACTCATATACTTCATCAGTGAAGAGTATGACATCAATTCATCAGATCAATTTCATCAAGAAAAAGAACAAATAAAGTAGTATGAGGACATGAGAAATGAAAGTTCATTTCTTCATGATTAGCATGCGTCCTTTCAGGCATACTCAGGTCTCCAGCGGATTCTTCAGACGATTACGTATGTCTGGAGACCTGACCCTGCAGAAGAGATTAGTTCTTTTTCTTCACCACCCACATCTGAAGGGGTGGCAAAGAGTTCATCACTCTGCGAGCTCCATACGAGAAAGGTGGCATAGAAGCCAGTCCATTTCGTTTCACATAAGAGGAGTTAGGATAAGCATATGAATAAGCAGAGAAATTCTTCGAGGACTTATGAACATGATGATTAGAAGAATAATGCTCATATTCATAGCCCTTAGCTCTTCCATGCGAAACAGAGTTGTTAGCACGATGATATTCATATGAGGACTTGGATCCATATGAAGAATTTGGTCCATATGAAGACTTTGCTCTGGGGTTCCTATTCTTCACAGGTGGTGCCCTGAGGACATTCACCTGAAGACTTTCAAGGCACCTTTTGGGAACCCATATTTTTTCACAGGGGAACCATTCTTGCAGTTAGTGCCAACATATCTAGCAAATACTTCACCATTCTGATTTTTGAAGAATTTATAGTTGGAGTCAAATGACTCATCATCAGAACGAGGAGATTCACATGCAAATCCAGATAAGTTAGATGGATCAACTAGAGGTCCCTTTGCAGCAACCCATGTAGTTTTGGGGTACTGCTCAGGCTTCCAATATGTACCATCAGCATTGAGTTTCCTCTCAAAGGCAATACCCTCTTTCCTAGGGTTCCTGTTGAGGATTTGCTTTTTAAGCACATCACAAAGAGTCTGATGCCCTTTGAGGCTTTTGTACATGCCTGTCATGTACAATTCCTTCATCCCTGCATCGTCAGTGATACTAGCAGTGTCCTCAAATGAGGAATTAGTGATAGCAGAGGCATGTGAAGAATTTGTAGCATTAGAAGCATTTGAACATTCAGGTGAAGAATTAGCAGATTCACATTCAATGCATTTCAAACAAGGAGGAACACATTCTTCCTGAGAAGCGCTGATTTGTTGAGCAAGTAATGAATCGCGCTTCTTCTGAAGATCTTCATAACTCACTCTTAGCTTCTCAAGGTCTTTCTTTCTTTGAAGAAATTCATAAGAAAGCTTCTCATGATCAGATAAGAGAGTGTTATGATGATCTTGAAGGGTGTCATACTTAGTATGAAGTCTCTGAAGACTTTCAGCCAAAGCTTTTGACTGATCCATTTCTTCACCCAACATATCATCGCTCTTATTTAGCATGTATTGAACTTTTTCCAAAGCTCTTTGTTGTTTAGTGGGAAGGGAAGCAAGTTTTACAAAGCTGGGTCCAAATTCATCACCAGATTCATCATCACTAGTCTCGGATAGGTAGCATTCAGTTACCTCAGCATCTTTTGCCATATGGCATAATGCAGAAGATGATGATTCTGGTTTGAATGTCATCGCTTTGAGAGATTCCTTGAAGTCCTCAAACCAAGGATCATGACAGGTTCGATGACCTTCATAGACCTCAGAGAGACGGTCCCAAATAAGCTTCACATGATCGAGATGCATGATATTCCCAAAGTGATTTTGAGATAGACATGAGCAGATGACGTCCTTCGCCGTGAGGTTGAGAAGAGTGTACTTGCGAATGTCATCTGCTTCCGCCATCTTGCACAGATCAGTCAGACCTATCTCAGTGACGGTCCACAGCTTGCTGTTCATCGCCATGAGGCGCTTCTTCATCATGGCCTTCCACTTGAGATACTCGTGACCATCAAAGATGGGGCATGTCACTTTCTTCATACACGCGGTCGACAAAACTAAACTCCAGGTAGTTAAACCAAAATCACACAGAACAAGGGAGTACCTTGCTCTGATACCAATTGAAAGTGCGTTATATCGACTAGAGGGGGTGAATAGGCGATTTTTATGAATTCTTCACTGAGGAATTTGCAGGTGAGGAAATTCCTTAGCGAAGAACTACTAGCAGCGGAATAAGTACTCAAAAGTAAACATAACAGAACACAAGCATAGTTATCAGGATGAAATGAAGACAGGCACAGAGTACAGAAAGTGTAAGCACAGGATGACACAGGATAAAGACAAACAGATTGAAGAAATTGAACTGAGGAAATTGAGAAAATCTTCAGTCAATGTCTTCAAGCATAGATATGAACAAGCACACAACACAGTTATGAGGAAATGAAAGAGTTGAGGAAATAGAACCAGTAAGCTTGGTGAAGACAATGATTTGGTAGACCGGTTCCAACTGCTGTCTCAGTTGTATGTATGGTTAGGGCGGCTAGGTACTTAAACTTGAGGACACATAGTCCCAGACACCAAGTCCTGAACACGCAGCTCAGGACACACAGTCCTCACTGTATTCCCCTTGAGCTAAGGTCACACAGACCTCGCCCAATCACTCGTGGTAAGTTTTCAGGTGACTTTCGAACCTTCACAAACTTGGTCACTCGGTGATCCACAATTCCTCTTGGATGCTCTAGACCATGACACCTAACCATCTGGAAGAAGCACAGTCTTCAAAGGTAACAAGCGTCGGATCCATGCAGGATCAATCTCTTTAGTGATGCTCAATCACTTGGGGTTTGTAGGTGTTTGGGTTTGGGTTTTCCTCACTTGATGATTTTTGCTCAAAGTCCTCGGAGGATGGGATGCTCTCAAATGACAAGTGTCAGTTTCTCTTGGAGCAGCCAACCAGCTAGTGGTTGTAGGGGCGGCTATTTATAGCCTAGGGAGAAGCCCGACATGATAAGACATAAATTCCCTTGAATGATAAGACCATTAGGTGGATAGATATTTTGGGACAGCTGGCGCATAGCACAGCAACGGTCGAAATTTGAAGTGGCAAAATCCTCAGGGCTATCATGTTCCTCACTGTGTAGGCAATTCGCACTGGCGAATTCCTAACTCCTCAGTCAGAACAAATTCCTCAGAGACCAGAAGAACTTCGTCTCTGTCACTGAAGAATATGACTGAACTGTATGAGATTTCCAATGGCTTCACTCGAAGGGATTGTTAGGTGTAGGATTTGAGTTGAGCATCACATGGAAAATTTTCCTTAGTATTTCCTCGACCCCTGTCAGGGATATACCCCGCGGTATGACCCGACCGGATGTATGACCCGGCTGGACTTGGCGACTCACTAGTGACCCGCCCTGACTTGGCGACTCACTGGTGACCCGCCCTGGCCCGGCGACTCACTGGTGACCCGCCCGGATCTCTCCACTCACTGATGACCCGGTTGAACCAGGTGGCGCATTGGTGACCTGGCAGGCGGGTCAACGGAGCGACAACACCCGGCGCCCCAACATGCGGTTCATAGAAGACCGACTCGTGCTATGGTGGGCCGGCTAAAGAGGAAAGCAGAAGGAATATTCTCCTACAAAGGAAGCAAGACTAGGACTCCACTTGTAATAGAGTAATCCTAATCCTAATAGAACTAGTCATGTAAGCCGCCCCTTCAACATATATAAGGAGGGGCAGGGCTCCCCAAGAGGGACAAGTTTTTCACAAGTTAGGTTTAGACAGACAAGTCAATAGCTCTCGAGATAGAGAACCCTTGTAATTATCATCATCATCAATATCAATGAAGCAGGATGTAGGCTTTTACCTCCACCGTGAGGGGCCGAACCTGGGTAAAACCTCGCGTCTCTCGATTCCGCTCAACCCCTCTCAAGCTACCACATAGATGCGTTGGCCTCACGACTAAAGTCCCCACACTAGGACATCTGCCATGACAATTCCATGATAGTTGTCGGGGATATACCCCACGGCGTAAACTGGCCGGAAGTATAACCCGGTCGGACTTGGCGTTTCATCGGTAACCCGCCAGAGGATTGGCGACTTACGTGTCTGGCGGTTCACTAGTATGACGATTCACGAGCCTGAAGACTCATTGGTGACCCGGCGCGTGTTCCAGATGGATGACAAGGCACAAGGCCCAGAAGGCCGGCTCATGTTATGGTGGGCCGGTTTAAGAGGAAAGGCGTGAGTAATATTTGTCTTATAGGGAGTTAAGACCTGGACTTGTATCCGTTTTGTATTAGAGATAGACTAGTCCTAATTCTAATAGGGCTCCACATGTAACCCGCCCCTTCAACTTATATAAGGAGGGGCAGGACTCCCCAAAGAGGGAGAAGTGACAAGCAAGAAGAAACAATCTTTAGGGCTAGACATGAAGAGCCAGTTTACCGGCGACTCTCTCGTGAGCATAATGAGATCTAGCCACAAACAGCATGTAGGGCTATTACCGGATGATGTTTCCTGGGGACCGAAGCTGTCTAAATCCTTATTTTGTGTTGCGTCTCTTGATTCCGCTCAACCCCTTCAAGCTACCGCATAGATGCGTTGGCCTCACGACTAAGTCCTCACACTAGGACATATTCCATGACAAAACCACGACAGTTGGCGCCCACCGTGGGGCTTGCACACGGTGGTGTTGAGTTCTTAAAGGGATCTCACCCGTGGATCGAGAGGCTTGCGATTGACTGGATGAAAAATAGCCGGTTCAGAAGGATCTACGTCATAGACGACCAGTTGAAATAGCGTGTGCGAAATTGAGACAGAGGTTTCTTAGGGTTGCGTGCTAAGTGGTCGCTGCACACACCATGGAGATATGCCAAGACCGAGATAAGAGTAATTTTTGATGGCAACCTTGGGCGACTTGTCAAATTGCAGGAGATCAGAATAATACTCTTCATCGGGTGACACAAGGATCTAAACTACCAATCTCATGATCCTGCCTGCTGTTCTTGAAAAAAAGGGTCAAACCGAGCACGACCCAGAGGGGGTCTCGGTCGCACCGCGCACAAAGTCTGCCTCGCTTCCACGTGATGCATCAAGTCAGTCGCCGCGTCTCCGAGCCACCACAGCCGGCCTATGCCCTGCTATCACCGCTGCTGCGCCCAGTCACCTCTGCCTCCGTCGACCCCACGCCAAGCGACCTGCCACCGTCGTCGACCCACGGGTGCCGCCGGCCGCCAGCCTTCCAAGCTGGCGCGAGTCGCCCTGACCAAGTTGTCGCCGAGCCACCCTGGCCAAGCAGCTTCACCTACGCCTCGCCCTTGACACCACAGCCTTGAGCCACCTACATATCCGCTGGTCTCTGCCTCGATCTCCGTTCGGGGTCGCGCTGAGCCGCCCAGGCCGAGCGGCCTTGCATCTCCGTCAAGCCACCCCGGATAAGGCGGCCTCGCCTCCGCCTCGCCCTGTTCCGAAGCCACCCCTACCATCGGGTCAACCACTGCACCCCGATCCGCTACTTCGTCAACCCGCCTTGTCGCCTTAGCCATGGTTCACCTCGAGCCATGTCGTTGCGCCATACTCTCCCTCACGAACAGAGCGACAGCGGCGCCATCGGTCTGTCTTTGGTTCTAGCCGGCGCGGATGTTCTTGACTCCACCAGGCGCAGATGTCCGGACGTGGCCAAGTTTTTTCTGTACGGAGTGGCCGGTACGCCCCCCCAGCTGCACAGGCTCGGTTCCTGCCTGATAGTGGAGCTCGTCCATGTTTTTGAGCCGACAAAGATCAAAGGCCTCTTCAATTTGTTACTCCACCTAGGGCTGCTGTATGGGATATATAGTCAACATGGATGCTCAGGCGAGCTGGACCGTTGGAATATATGGAAAACATTGGAAACATATGATCATGTGTTTATAAATCCTTATCTTCATGTTGTTGAATAAAGAAGGAAATCATGGCAGGATTCGTCAGTCCCAATTTCTGCATAAGGGATCCACTGTATCAATTCAACGTGCGTGTAGTGCTGGAGCCTTTGGTTTGTTTGCAACCAGAATTTGAGACATTGGCGGAGTTTGTGTTGGGAATATACAAAGATGACTGCTAAATAATACTCAGTGGGAGGACAGACAATTGTTGAGCTCTGGAAAGTATTAGAAGAACGGAGGTGCAGACAGAACTTAATGCCCATTTAGCTGTTTGGTGGACGGAGTTGATCTGCTGTCCGGATGGCCTGTTTCTGCTGCGGTTTTCACCGGTGCGCCGAGCCGCCGCATCCCCTGTTTCATGCGTCTGCTTATTACCTTTTGGTTCCGAAGCCGCGGTGGAAAAAGTGTTTACTGATCACATGACGACCAGAGTTAGACAGAAAAAGACAAAGGTGCTGGCATGCTTTGGCACTACATACACATTACGTGGAGCTAAAAGCTACCCCTCCGCCTTATAATTGGATGAAACAATTGAAGCTGGTAGTATTTCACGGAGAATCAAATAAAAGCACGTCCATACTGCTGGTGCCTTCGTATATGACTTTGGACCTGCATACGGATCATCTGTCATCATCCGAGCAATCAGGTGATATCTATCCGTATAAATTTATTAGCATATATTGTTTTTTTTGTCAAAGAACGATTAATCTGGTTTACTGCAGCTCCTGTAACTTGCAAGCCGGGGGCAATCTGCAGTGATGGATCAAATAGTGCTAAGCACTCCTGATTATATAATGTACCCTTGGTACATCATCACTTGAGGAACGAAGGCAATCAGCCCATATTTTGAGTACAGAGCAATGAATCATTATGTCAGTCTACACGAACATCTGCTATTTGTCTGACTACATCCAACAATATCCCGTGCCAACAGTCGTGTTCATCCGACAAAATACCAGGTGTTATTCACCTTATGTATATTTTTAGTATACGTTATTCATCTGAGAACAATTACTCTGGCCTATATCTTTTTTATACAGGACAAGTGCTCACTATGAAAGTGATGCCCTATCGCGGACGGCGCGCGCTAGCTGTTCTACACCGGCATCTGCGCATGTCGCACTGATGAACAGGAACACAAACCGCCGCCCCCGTAGTCCGGATTACATCAACAATGCCGCGACCGACTCTCTTGTCTGCGTGGGCTTATAACACCGCGGCCGACTCGGTATCTGTCCAAACTGCCTCTGATGCGGCGGTCGTCTTTGTTGTTCGTCTCTCGCGGCCTGGTCTGCATCAACATACCGGCCCGCACCTGTCTGCATGAGCTGTTTATTGAGTATGAGCAAGTCACAGCTTGGGTAGCCCGGTTTGTCTTTCAACAAAATGAAGGCAAATTATCATATACTATCAACCGCCATCTGCACTGGGTGGCTCAACGGGCAGGCGCACAAGTCGCTGCCACTACAGTTTGGTTAACTTCAAATCACTAGTTGGAAGGAACCGTTGGCCGAGTTGCTGACACGGCTCATACGGGATCACTTATAACCCACCGCAGTCACCTCAACCTTCTGTGGATTCACATCGTGCTATCAACATCAATGATATACAAGTTATGCTGGTTTATATCACGGTCCAATATGGAGAATCTCAAGTCAACTCCTCGAGTCACCTTGAGACTTGGGGGCTACAGTAATATGACTCAGCAAATGTTGCCGGTTTTTCAGTGAAGTCAAGAATCCCAGGAGGTTGGAGGGAAAGATAACCCGGACCCGGAGGCTACTGCCCTATTGTTGAAAACTTGAAGGCCAGCAGAAATTTCTGACTTAGAAAGTATATTACAGTTACAAAATCCGGTTCAATGGAATTCTGGGTCATCAGAAAGGATTCCGGTTTAAGATCCGGCTCAAGGGAAGTCAGTTTCACTGAAGCTCTCAAATATCCGGTTTATGATCTGGTTCAAGGGAAATCTGTTCTCCCACAAAGCTCTGAAGCTCTCAAATCCGGTTTAAGAATTTCCGGTTCAAAAAGTAATTAACTTCTCGCAAGTTCGAGTTTAAAGGCCATCAGCGAATTTCCAGTTGAAAATGAAGATTCCAATTTAAAATCCGGTTCAAGGGAAAGATGTCTCCCACAAAGCTTTGAAGCTCTCAAAATCTGGTTCAAAATCCCGGTTCAAGAAGAATTTATCTCTTGCAAAAAGTTAAAGGTTGCCGAAGAGGACCTGCTGCCATGATGCACGGTTCAAACATGGGTATCCTTCCTTATTGGCTTATCATATTATTGATCACGTGGGGGCTTCTGTTATAAAGCGGCGTCCGGTTTACCCCTTGGTTCAACTTATCAAAGCTTTATACAACATCACTTGGGGGCTTGGTCGTATCCGAACCATAGCTACACCTCTTGATCGGCGCAATGCCACAACATCACTTGGGGGCTTGGTCGTATCGGAACCATAGTCACACCTCTTGATCGACTCAAAGCCAAATCAATCCGGGGCCAAAGAGAGTGTTGTAAAACAACAACTCAAATATAGGCACCCACTGAGCACAGCTCAAAACATTACTTGGGGATTCTTTGCTATCGCAATGAACTTAGAATCTACACTTGTAATGGGCTATCAAGCCATGGCTTGGAAGCCTGGTGTATACACCTAAAACCCCGGGTTAACCTACCTTCATCAAGTAAGCCACTCCTGTCCAGGTAATCCTGGTATGACCCGCCGAACATTTGACAAGTCAATCTTATACAGACCCTAAACTTGTCAAACTTAAAACGACGATTGGTTAATTGGAGGCCCATCTTAAAAGGCCTGGTAAAATGGTTTAACTAAGTGGCCTGGCAACCCATGAAAAGCCTCGATTTAGAGCCTGGCAGCTCATAAAAAGCCTCGCATGTTCTTTTTGGGTTCTATTTGCCAAGTTTTTTCGCCTTTTTTGAGGTTCATAATATCTTCTGATAAACCGGCATCCTTGACCCGGCTTGGCTTTCAGCTACAAGTTGTCAGTACATGATCATTTATAATCCGGTGTTCATTAACCCGGTCTGGTTTTGATTAACAAGTCACCACTGTTATAAGGAAAATCCGGTGTTTATTATATCCTGGTACGGTTTATTATCATAATCCGGCAAATTAAGGAAGGAGTTCTCAATACTCAAGATTGGGGTTACTACCCTCACTACAAGAATTGGTTAAACCAACGAGGTGATTCAATGTCACAGGAAAAGAATGCATTCGGGTGGCTACCCACCCTGGCTTTTGATGTTAAATCGCCACGGCCTATGTTATTTACACTTTGTGCATGATTTGCAGAATTATGACATATAAATTCAAGCTCATCATCAAAATTGATGCTTCAAAAGGGTTATCCATTTTGGATTTTCTCAAAGGCTATCAGCCACCGGGTTATAAAAATTCCGGCTTACAATGAATGCGTATTAAGTCGCCATCGGCCAAGAGCTGCCGAGTATCGAAACTTCGGATTTACTTATCAACTGGTAAGATATCCATATCTTTCATAGCCAAAATTGGCTGGATTTTCATGATGATATTGAATGATTGAGGTTTTTAAACCGGATTATATTATTCAAATCTTCAAATAGCCAAACATGGCTGGAATTTTATTATTATGATGGTTATCAATAACCAGTATTATGATTAAGATTTTCAAAATCGCTTCAACACGATGGTTATTATTTACCAATGGATGTGATTTATTCTACAAAGGAATAGTCCTAAATCACTGCAGGCTTACGACCCAGCACTTGGGGGCTACATTATTCAGGTTAAGATTACATCAAAATATGCAAGTCTCATGTCGCTGCAATCATGCACCATGACACTTGGGGGCTAATGCAAAGTCATTTTGACTGGACTTATTGAAGACCCGACTCGTCACATTGTAATGAGCCGGCCCTTGGGGGCTACCAATTGCTCCTCTCAAACAAATTCAAGGTACACAAGTCCTAGAACCATTATATTGAAAGGTCCATTGCTCAGTTGGTAAAGCACAAAGCTCTTAACCTTGTGGACGTGGGTTCAAGCCCCATGATGGGGGTTACATTATATGATGTTCTTTTCAAAGAAGTATATATAAAGTACCAGCTCAATATTATCTTACTGAGCCGGCCCTTGGGGGCTACACATTGCTGTTCAAATTTACATGGTTATATCTACAAAGTCCCTGCTCATCATTGCATAATGACCCAGCCCTTGGGGGCTACACTGGTTGAAGTTTCCATGAGCATAAAGCAATTACAAGTCCCAGGTTGCTGCAAGCATGACAACCCGACACTTGGGGGCTACATGTGTGGAATATTCAGTTTATATGATTGAGATGAATAAACCAGATTTCTTCAAGGTTGCAAAATTTATTGGAGCAAGTCTTAAACCATCACTTTGTTCTGCTCAAGACTTGGGGGCTACAGTTAATATGGATATAAGGGAGAAAAATCTTCAAATTATCAGTTTTGAGAAAATCAGGAGGGTCAATTACATAAACCGGTGTCAACAATAATTATGACCCGGCATTGTCTGTTTTATAATCCGGCGGTTTTTGGTAATGATGAACCGTCAAGTTTTACATCTTCAAGCCGGCTGAATATCAGATGAGTATTTGAAGACC